AAAATCAATACATGTTCTCATATAAGTCTCTTATATAAAATGGTGTAAGATTCATGTATCACCTGGGCACGTCCTGCTGTGACCTCATCTCTAGGTTCTTAGTACAATGTAACGACTATTCGGGAAGTTGTTGTAGTGTATCGTTTAGGCAAGAATGAAAAAAACCCAGCTATACAGGCTCAGTAGAGATACTTTTTTTTCAAATATATATTTTTAATTATTATTCAACTTATTTGTCAGTGTGTATGTGTTCGGGAGCATGGGTGCACGTGCCAAGGTTTGTGTGTGAAAGACAGAGGACAACTTGGAGGAGTTGTCTCTCTTCTTCCACTATGCTAGGTTGTCCGTTTTGATGGCACTTTTACTTGCTTAGCTATCTTGCTGGTCCCTCCAAATATTGTTGATCCACAGTTGGCTAAATCTGGAAATGTGGAACCCAGGGGTGAAGAATGGCTATTCAGGGCTTTTTTTTTTTTTTTTTTGGTAGAGCATTGACATCTGAAGCATTCACGGTGTCAGGATTTGAGACTACAGAAAACAGGTGTAGTCATTTATACCCTTCTTGAAGAACCACTGGGAAGAACGCTTTTCCCCTGGGTGTCAGAGGCTCGGAGCTGTCTCTGCTTCCCTTTCCAAGGTGAGTGTCGCTCAACTGAAGCTGCCTGGTGACACTGGCTTACCCATCGGGTTTTCAGGTCTTGTCTATCTACTTGTCCAGAAAGAGAACTAGAAAGAGTAAGAATCGTCCTCGGTGCTATGGAGATCATTCTGTGCGGCCAACAGTGGGCAGGTCCTGCTACAGCACAGAGCTTGGCTTTTGCTGTTTATTAAAACATTTCACAGTTCCTGCCACTTTCAGTCTGAGCTCAGGCTTGTGCTCCTTCCTTTGTTTAAAAGACATAAGGAAATAATCCCTTGACGACCTAAACCATGACACATTCAGGCCTCACACTCGTGGGATTTTCACAGGCACCTGGGAGGGAAGAATGGATACCTCAAGTAGCCTGGTTCTCTTTCGGCTTCATGGGAGACCTCAAGGGGAATTTAAGACCTCCTTTGTAAACTTAAAAATTAGTTAGAATCCAGGGAGAGATTTCAGACAGGGTCATTAGTTTCTATTTGCGAAAGGAATTGATTGGGTCTTGGTTTCGCAGTTGAAAGTCAAACAGCGCATTGAACAAACAAAAGGCAAACTTCAGCACCTTTAATTTCCAACAACACTCGGGAGTGAGCGCACTCAGACACCACAGTTTTAACGCTACGTCAGTTATTTAAACCGAAACTAGTTTATAGTTTCAAGCAGTGGGTTTCAAAGATAAAGAAAAAAGAAATAAAGTCATGTCCTCAAAAACCCTCCCTTCTCCAATTTCTACTAAATATTAGACTACACTGTAGAAGAAGGGGTTAGACCCTAACATGGGAAAATGCTTTTCTCAGATAATGTCCTCCTTCTCTTCTTTTTCCTCCTCCTCTTCTTCCTCCTCTTCCTCCTCCTCCTCCTCTTCCTCCTCCTCTTCCTCCTCCTCTTCTTCCTCATTCTCTTCCTCATTCTCCTCCTCTTCCTCCTCCTCCTCTTCTTCCTCCTCTTCTTTCTCATTCTCCTCTTCCTCATTCTCCTCCTCTTCCTCCTCCTTCTCTCCTTCTCCTTTTTTTTTTTTTTTTTTTCTAGGCAGGGTCACTCCATGTAGTCCAGGCTATACTTGAATTCTTTCTTTTCTCTCCCTCACCTCTCTTTGAGACAGGGTTTCTCTGTGTGTCCCTGGCTGTCCTGGAACTCACTCTGTAGACCAGGCTGGCCTCAAACTCACAGATATCCACCTGCCTCTGCCTCCAGATGGACTTGAATTCTTGATCCTCAGCGTTGGCTGGAGTTCTTCAATTTTAGATTCCTACATTCAAAAGCAAAGTCAGTTTGGGGACTGGCTGAAATGTTTAAAGAGTGGGGTGAAATAAAACTGGCAAAAGGCAAGTCATGTGAAGAGATGAGGTAGGTAGTGAGTGGCTGTCCAAGCCATCAGACCTCCGTGCCCTCTGGGAACTCTGTCCGTGGATCCTTTCACTTCTGGAACAGTCTCAAAGGCAGATTCTATTGTGCTATTTGGTGACTAACGCAGCAAAATCAGAAACGATGCCTACCTGCATACTCATTTGCAAGTCTGCTGCATATAGGTGGATACAATTTGCCAAGATGTCAGAGGAGACTAGGAAGGAAGCACCATGGATACAGTTGACATCAATGACTGCAAGTCCTCTTTGTAAGCACAGAACAGAGTGGAAAGTGAGCGTGACAAATAGTAACCAAAGTTAACTGCAGAGAGAGGACAGAGGTGGCGTTGAAGACACCCCACATGGGTCTGCGGTTTAGATTCACACCTGTCCCTTAGGAATTGTGCCACTGTGGCAGGTAACTGAACAGAAGGCGAAAATTTCTTTTCCCTTTTTTTCTCCCACCTCCTCTTTTCTTTGTGGTGCCGGGTATTAGATCCACACACACACGCTGAGCACACTCTCTGCTGCTGACATATGCTCCGAATCCCAAAGTACATAGTTGTTATTGTTGTTGTTTTTATCATTGTGGGAATGGAATTAGAAACACAAAGCACAGGTCTGATTTTACCTTTAGGACTGTTTGGGAAACACAAAGGGGGACACGTTATGCAAAGAAATGAAAGTGGTCAAGATATATATATGTGGGAGGGGCTTCCAGTGACTTTCATAATCCTTACCTAACCCTTCGAATGGTGGGGTGGTAAGAATACCTGAATCAAAACTCTAAGCTTATGTGACTATCAGTGTAAGACCTCAGTTCTTCAATTCTGAAGTCCTTTAGACAGGATCTCCTACAGCCTGCACAGCACTGGGCAGGTAGTGTAGTGTGTTGTTACAAAGGAAGTGAGAAAGATAACTTACTGAGTTGTTGAGCTACCCACTTCCAAAGACAACCACTTAGATTTTAGAAAACCGGGGCTTCAGTAAACACCCAGGGACCTGAAAGCAGTGCATTGATTATTTTATTAATTCTTTCTTTGTACATGATGGGAAACGTTCACCTATTTACAGGTTGTTATTTTTATTTATTTTTTGTCCACACACAATCTAGGTAAATAAGCCTATGAAATTCCAATTCAGAAAGCCATAAAAATCTTCCCCACCCCTCCATCTGAAGGCTTTCAAATGTATCCTTTTTTTCCCCAAACCAAATTAATTTTTAAAAATTACATTAGGGAATTCAGATATGCTAATGATTTACATTCCAGTTATTTAAAATATGCATTTAGACATGTTCTTAAAAAAGAAATGGTAAATTCACAAGGATAGGGCTTAAATTAAAGCAGTACTTCACAGTAAAACATTAAGGGAACATCTATAAATAACAGAAATATATTACAAATAAATTAGTTCTATTTACCATTTCAAATATTAAAAATCTTTAATCCATTTCTTCATCTCTCTTTACAAAAAGGTTATGTGAATTGTATGGAAACATCTGCAAAAAATATAATAAATACTTGATTTCTTTGAATGTATTTTTGTTGTTGTTTTTTTTTGATGAGGGAGACAAACTTCTTTTGTAATTCGCCCCGCCCCAAGAAAATGCCCAACACCTTTATACCAAAGTTAAACAAAATAAGTAATTTTTCAGGGTACATACACTGTTCATTATGAACTAAAAAACGTCTCTACAAATTACATCAAAAAGAAGAACGCAACAAAGGTTATGTTCCCGCTGTCAGTTTCCAGGTTCCAGTGGGTAACAGGCTGTATCGTGTGGGGGTCATGTCCTAACATCAATAATTAGCTTTTTTTTTTTTTATAAAGTGTTTGTACAGTTTAAACTGTGTTTCTCAGGAAGGCAAAGGTTCTGATGCCCTGCAGGCGTTCAGCTAAGAGATTTAAAATTCTTACCAAAAATAGCTTATGAATATACAAATGCCATTCACTTAGACAAGATAAATAGATCTTTTCTTGTCTCTCTTTAAAATAGCCTGGGCTAAATCAGTCCCCAAGGAAAACATTGTTGGAGGATCTGGAATCCCATCAGCACTGATCTCAGCGCTACCTCAGGGCAAGGAGCTGCAGTAGTGAACGAGGGGTCAAAATGGGACTAGAATGGGACCAGAATGAACGTTGATTCCTGTGAATTCCATGTCTTTCTTGGTTACGTTTGACCATGGGCTACCCAAGTGAAAGTTGGCCTTACTCCGGAATTCTTCTTCTGATCTTACATTGCTGCTCAGCTGTAAAGAAAACATGTATCTTTTTTTGAAACTAGCTAATACTTGAAGCTCAAAAAATTCTCTGCTCCAGTTTGACACAGCGCTGACTTTGTCTGCCCTAGTTAAAAGTTGTTGGTGTTGGTTTTGTTTTTTGTTTGTTTTTTTTGTTAAATAAGTTATAGCCCTTTTCTTGTAAACCACAGCAGTAAACATTTGTGCCCTGTTGATGAAGGTACCTCAAAGCTTCCATGGCTCTGAGAGGTAGCGAATTCTCTAGTGGTTTTAGAATATGTCTGAAAATACTGGTTGCCAGAACCCATCGCTTCTGTTAATTTTGTAAAGAAAATTAAATTAGCACCTGGCCATAAGAGTGGTTTTTGTTTGTTTCTTTTTCTTTTTTTTTAAGTATTCACTGATGCAAGCATTTTATTTTCTTTTAAGTCTTTCTTTTTTCTACGGTAAGTGTCTAATTCTTTAGGTTACCAGCTTGACATGCTTTGGCTGATGCGTTCAAACTGCCACATTCTGAATGTTTAAACTGCTACAAGTAAAGGGCATTTGAAGACTTCAGCTAGAAGCTACTGCACACAGCCCATCAACCATGACTAAATTGCAAGCCAACAGGAGCCTGGAATCCACCCAAAGGCTTGGATTTCTATCAGCGTTTATGAGTGCCCACTGCTCTGCCTCCTCCTAGTTCTTGACCCCTGCATATCATATGACTTCTCTCAATACCTGGAACTTCAGGATCAGAACAACAGCTCTTTGGAATGAGGCAGCATGTCAACTGGGGTAGAAAACCTTTTATTTTATTCATTTGACATAGAACAAAATCCTGTGCTGGGGAACAGGTGAACTCTGTATTGGAGTGAGAGGAGTCCAAAGGAGAAAAACACCCCCGAACTGCGAAGGGCTGGGCTGAACTAGACTAGACGGATGTGTGGCATTCAACGGGTGGCGGGAGAACCTGAACTCTCCTCTGGAAATGGCCTTGCCGCCCCTCAGAAGCAGAAACGTTCTTCCGTGCGTGAAATCCTAAGTGACCCCACCAGGATGGACGCTGAACTAACAGAACCAACTCTTTCCCACCCTCCCATTTAAAAACCATTGCTATGATATTATAATACACAGAGTACAAGAAAAGTTAATTAAAAAAAATTTCAGGTCTAAAATTTTCTTAAGATAAATAAATGGATTCTTTATAGAGGATCTTAAACCACCGGTGTTCCCTTTTGCCTTAACTTGCTTCATTTTATTGCCTTTCAGAATAGATTGATTTCCCTGAAAGATCGAATTTACAATCTTCTGCTGATTGAAACATTTGAAGCTGTGGTTGATGAAGTACCAGTGAGGCAGTTTGTACAGCTGCGAGGGCACAGATGCATATACCTGCGCGCTCCGCCCTCCTCTCCTACACACCCAGGCCCCCAACCTTAGGCCAGCTTGGTCCCCACTCTGTGTCACCTTGATTCTAATTAGATGGTGTGATTTCTGAGATTAGAAATAAAGCGCTCTCTGCTTGTAAAAAAATAACCGTTTGGGGGGGGCAAACAAAGGGAGTCGGAGCCCTCGTTTCTTTCACGTGGAAGACGGTAAGTCCCAAAAGATCACCCTATGTGATACTGGGTTTCTGAAATACCCTATGGTTTTATATTGCTGAGTTCTAGGGACACACTAGCTTGAGAGAACTGAGGAGGGTGAGTGACCTACAGGTGTCGTTTTTTCTACACAGGTGGGTTTGCTTGGCCCAGAAAATAAAGGGTTTGAATGTCTGCATGAGGCTTCAGGACGGGGGAGCGAAGCTCGGTGGAGAAGATGGGCAAAGTGGTCCAGGAAGCGGGGCGGCCTGGGGACGGCTCCTGCGAGGTGGACAACTATGCCACGATGGTGGCGGTCACTGAGCTCAGAGACGGAGGGGGCGGGGAGGCGGCCGAGGACAGGGATGCGGGACGGTCCTTGGCGGCGCTCAGAGCCGGGTCTGCGCCTCGGGGATGTAGATCTCGATGCTTTCGGCGCTCTCGGTGGCCGAGTTCTGGCGGACCGACGCGGCGCGCTTGGCGGCCATCAGGCGCTTGCGGGCCTCCTGGCGCTGCGAGCTCTCCAGCGAGCGCTCCCGGATCAGCGGCGCGGGGCCCTTCGCCGGCTTCTTTGGCACTGGAGGAGGGGCCCTTCGCTCCTGATCAAAGCAGAAGGTTCAGGACATTACACAGCTTCTCAGGATAAGCTTGGGAAAGACTGGGATAGGTCAGTAGTTTGAACGCACACACGCGCGCGCGCGCGAGCGCACACACACACACACACACACACACACACACACACACACACACACAC